TTATGAGGAAAAAAAATTAACAAATGATTTTAGCAAATGGCTGCAATATAACAAAGAGTGAAAAATTTAAGGGGGTCTGAATACTTTCTGTACCCACTGTATGTGTGTGTGTATCATACTCTATCATATTTTGATGTGTTGTTAATGTTATATATATGTATATATGTATATATGTATATATGTATATATGTATATATGTATATATGTATATATGTATATATGTATATATGTATATATGTATATATGTATATATGTATATATGTATATATGTATATATGTATATATGTATATATGTATATATGTATATATGTATATATGTATATATGTGTATATATATATATATGTATGTGTGTGTGTGTGTGTACATATATAAATAAAATTATATATTGTTGTTGTTATTAGATCAAATATTTTACATAATTTCTGTAAGTAGAACTTTTACTTTCACAAAGCATCCGAACTGCTATTGTTATGAGAAATTTGTGACTTCAGCTTTTAAATGTATACACCTAAAAGCAAAGTAATGATTTATTTTAGTTACGAAATGTATATAAGTGCTAACACTTAGAAACATAGAAACAAACAGAACATGTATCAAAGTGCAGCTGTTAAATGTCCCATTACTGACTTTCTTTCTACTTAATAAAAGTATGTGCTTTCCCACCATCAACCATGTACACACACTTAAAGTGCTTTGTAGAAGTAGCCGACTGGCATTCAGCCCATGTTTGAATGGTGGCTATGAAATTAACAAATGAGAGTCAGTCGATAAGAAAAAGTTATTCTTCCCTCTTGAGCCCATTAAGATGCAATACTAGTATCAACACTGGGATTTGGAACTGAGCCACATTGTCTGAGAGATTTCAAGGGAAAGACACAATTATCAAATATGAATAATTCATTTTATTGGCTGGGTAATACAGAGCTAAATAACATGTGCTGTACAAACAGACATTCAGACGGCCCAAATGAATGGATCAGAATGATAAAAGATATGTCATGATTATTATTGCAATTCTGGGCTTGATATAAAAGGCCTATATAAAAAGCCTATGCTTCAATGTTCAACATGTGTTCATTTTTTACAAAATTTCTTTTATAAATTTTAATTGTACAAAATATTGAAACTGAAGTATACTACTTTTCCAAAGTTTGGGGTCAGTAAGTTTTTTTTTTTTTGTTTTTGTTTTTTGTTTTTTTTTATGTTTTTGAAAGTCTCTAATGCTCACTAAGGCTGCAATTATTGCATCAAAAAAATACAGTAAAAACAGTAATATTGTGAAATATTATTACTATTTAAAATAACTTTTCTATTTGAATATATTGTAAAATGTAATTTATTCATGTGATTAAAAGCTGAATTTTCAGCGTCATTACTTCAGTCTTCAGTGTCACACGATCCTTCAGAAATCATTCTAATATGCTGATTTGCTGCTCAAGAAACATTTCTTGTGTCCAAATGTTTAGTCTGGCTATGCACATATTAATGCATAATTTAAGCATGCTTGTCTCTTGTGTTGTTTTAGAATGTGTACTACACAAGCTCTCAGCAGCTGCATGTCGGAGGCTTGAGTCCGACCATCGACGACGACGATAACAAGTGCCTGGTGGATGTGAACGGCCGGCCGCGACTGCTGGAATGCAGCTACGCCAGCAACAAGCACATGACGCTCTCCTGGCTCTTTACTCGGGTATACTTCCATGGGAAACAATCAATTGTTTGCTCAAAACATTTTTTATGCTGGCTTTGGTGCCCTACATCTAAATAAGAATAGTATTGCAGTGGTCAGTTTTTGCTGTCTGGTCTGTTTTTTTTAGTATTTTAGTTGTTTTAGTATCATATTTAAAGATACTAATGTAGTTTTATTAATATTTTAAATATTTTTTATTTTATGTTTAGTGTTTTAATTTGAATGTTTTTGTAATTTTTTGTAATTTTTATTATTATTATTATTCAATTTATGTATATATATTATTGTATTTCAGTTTGTTTATTTTATTTCAAGTAACAAAAGGGTTTTTTATGGTTTTAGTTGTAGTTATAATAAGCTTTAATAACCCTGGCCATAAAGAGCTTCATTGCATTCTACACTACCCTCATTACACATAGACATCCTTTTCTGCACAACTCATTTAAAGCCGATGTCAAAATCGTTCCCTTTTTTTTAACAAGTTTTGGGATCATTGAAGTACTAGTATAAAACTTTCCCTTAAAATTTGCTGTCAATTTGCAGCATCTGTTAGCCCTCCGGCTGTGCGACTGCAGTGGACACTTTCTGGATATCGAGCATTAATAATTCAGAGGTGTGTGTGTGTCGTAAAGCTCTCTTAATTCAATTTGAACGCCGTTCTGGATTGTAGCAGACATCTTGATTTCATCCGCACGTAATATATGCGTCTCTATTAAAAGGCAGGTGAATTAATGTCACAGCAGGCGGTGTCCTCTAAAAGGTTTAGATGAAGTGTGCTGGAAATGTCAGAACAGGTTATTAGGAAAGGGTAATGCTGCCCCCTTGGGAGAGATGTCGAAGTAGATGAACAAACGCGCGCTTACAGGAAACGTGTAAGAGTATGAACGATATCAATTCTCACACAAACCCTCGGGACGTGCTTTAATGTCTCACACGGGCTCAGTGGGATAAAGACAGCCACCTTTTTTCTTCAAGTTATTTAAAATGGAATCAGGTCAAAATCCATTGTGGCCTTTTAGGTGCGATGAATAATTGATGACAAAGCCATTGAAAGGGTGATCTGGCTCTTGACTCATAGGAGAGCATCAGAAATGGCTTTAATTAAGTCTTTATCGACTAACATTGTCTGTTGACAGTCTGCTTTTCAGTCTGTAACTAGGATATCGCTTGACAGGTCGTGAATAAATGCGCCGTTAAGCTTACCTGACATATGTACCCAGCTGAAATATATTATGTAGCTCTTTAGGGCGTTTGGCACCACCAGCAGTCAGTGATATTATTATTTTAGGGAGGCTGATTTGGAACAAAACATAATTGAAGCAGATGCTGTGTTCCTGTCGGTGACACCTGTTCAACGATGCATTCCAGATTATTTTATAATTACTGGGGTCTTAATAATACCTTGTTTATAATGTACATGACCATGAAAAATTACATGGTCATACTACTTAAATTCTATTTCACAAAATTGAAATATAGAGTGAGAGAGAAACAGTGCTGGGTAGATTACTTACAAATTGTATTCTGTTACTGATTACAAATTACATGATGAAAATTGTAGTCAGTGATGTAATCTACATTAGTCATTTTAGGTAATGTATTCTGACTACTTTTGGATTACTTCTAGATTACTTTTGACTAGTCCTGTCAGATTAATTGCGATTAATCGCATCCAAAATAAAAGTTTTTGTTTACATAATATATGTGTGTGTACTGTGTATTTTTATTATGTATATATAAATACACACACATGCATGTATATTAAATATACACAGTACACACACATATATTATGTAAACAAAAACTTTTATTTTGGATGCGATTAATTGTGATTAATAGTTTGACAGCACTACTTTTGACCTAACTTTAAACGTGATTATTGTTATAAAAAAGAGAAATAACATCCTTATCAACATCATCAAATGTATTAAGCATAATAGTAACACTTTAGTATAGGAACCAATTCTCACTATTAACTAGTTGCTTATTAACATGCCTATTATTAACAAATTGGCTATTTGTTAGTACTTATAAAGAACATATTCTGCAGGACCATATTCTATATCCCTATAATCCTAGCCAATACCTAAACTTAACAACTACCTTACTATTAATAAGCAGCAAATTAGTTTAGTAATGTATTGAGGCGGAAGTCGTAGTTAATGGTTTGTTAATAGTGAGAATTAGACCTTAAAATAAATTGTGATCATTATATAAATAGTAGTTGTATTATATTAATTCCACTGCACTGGAAGAATTCTTCTGAATCTTATTAACCACAGATGTCTCTTCCATACACTTAAGGATCTCACTCTCTCACTCACTTAGACTGTGTCTGTTTGGTGATGTTTTTGATTGTGAGCCCCTCCTTGCCAATGATGGCTCCCACAAACTGCGTGGGCACCAGCATGCGCAAGGGGAAGTCTGGCTGTTTCTGGCGGGGCCCCAGGGAGCCTGCAGAGGTCCCAGGCTGGGAGTCCTGTTCCCGTGATGTCCTTCCACCCCGACGATTCCGGGTCACAGGCAGAGGCGGAGCAGCATCCATATCCAAAATATAAGACACTTTAAAGGAGTAATCCTCAAAGGTCTGTCCTGTTAACTTCTCAACAGCTCTGAAGACAACAACTACCTTACTAATTATTAATAAGCAGCAAATTAGGAGTTTAATGAGGGAAAAGACATAGTTTATGGTTTGTTAATAGCGAGATTTGGACCTTAAAATAAAGTACGACCAACATAATATTAGTACAGCTTTTCCCAAACTGGGGTAAATGAAATGTGTTGTTAAATTATTTAAATATTTACTTTAAATCTTAGGGGGACTTTAAGTAAATATTTTATATCAATGTGGTTTGACTGACAAAAAAGTTTGGGAATGCCTGCATCACATGAACAAATAATAATAAACATGAAAACAGCAATGACATGGTCAAAGTCTTCCAGGTTTTAAATATTTTTGTCAGTTGTTTGGCAGCAGTGTTTAGTAACTTGCATAATTGTGTTTTCAATACAAGGTATAATTGCTGAGAGGTGCTTTTGTCCCCAAATTCAGAAGCATGTATCGCAAATTAACATTTACACACATGCCCACTTATATTGTGAATACTTACTGTATTCAATATGACACACATTCAAATTTTATATAAAGGAAATTCGAAAAGACAAAAAATAAGAATTTATGAATTTTTAAAAATAAATTAATATCATTATTTTTATTTTATATCTACAGTTGTCATCTTAATTCTTATTTAATACTCGAGTATAATTTGTGTGAGCTGAACTGGTTAAGCAGTCACACAACCATTTAACTAATGCTCAAACAATTGAAGGTCAGTGGTATAGATCATTATATCCAGGACAGGCTTGTACACAATTAATTCTTCCGGTTTTATTTAAAACGCAACTTTGCTTACATAATTATAGGATGCGCCTCATGAGTCACTGGTGTAAATCCTAATGAGAGGAGGCATGTTGTATGACTCACTTGCTCAGCATTTAATAAACATGGCTAGTTGAAAATCTAATTAACTTGATGCAGAAAAACTAGATTTTTACATAATCTGAAGAAAATGTGTGCTGTTTTCCTGAGCAAAACATGGCATCTCGGTTCTAGAATGCTCTTGGGTGATCTTGGTCGCTGATGTAAATTTAATATATGGGGTTAGAGTTTTGTTCAAGTGTAAAGTTGAGTTCCAAATGATGCACTATACACTATGCAATACTCTACCATCTGAATTGTTCTAAATTGCCGCCACTAACCACCATATGAAGGTATTCTATCCAATAATATAGTTTCACACTTGTATAACATTTTGTTTTTCAAATGCTAATGTTGTAGCCATGGAAATGAAAAGTGCCATAAAAGTAATACAAATATTACAACTGTGCATCTTCAATAATATGATTTAGCCTGTGAAGCGAGACATTTGGCATTTCATACACCTTGGATTTCATACGGTGGCAGATGATTGGACGAGGGCGACACTTCGCCCGCGGCCTCCTCTTTCATGTTTCAGCTGTCTCCGGAGCCTCCTTCAACACTGTAAGACTCTCAATCCTTCAGGCTTTTCTTCAGAAGCAACCACTTCAGGAACATCACTTTCCTTTTGACATTGTTCTGAAAGGCTGTGGTGGTGTATTTCATACTGTATTTACTGACTGAAAGAAATGTTTCTCGAGGTGCAAGTGTCGCTTTGATTTCTCACTTAGTGCCGCTCGGATTCGGCATTAGAAGGACACGTCTACTCCATCTTTTTAAGATTAATGGATTATATTACCTCTTTTTGTGAAAAGTGTCATACAAATCAACATCCTTCATGATCCTGGACCAATTAAATGTCATTGTTCACTCATTTTGATGTGTATTGTCTTGCAGGGAGGCTCCATTCAGAATAGGAAGTCAAAGCGTTGTTTGGAGTTGGTGGAAAATGCGGACGTGGATCACGGATATCAGCTGGCCCTTCAACAGTGCAGCAGTCAAAAATGGACAATTACCAACATATTGCCTGGGAAAGTTCTATAAGCATAGTGTCTAATGGGACGTATCTCTGGATATGTAATGGACTGAGATACAGTGTCCCTTTACACGTTGTTGTGTCGAGAGAAGGCTGCTGTTCTCTGTTATTTAACACTGTAAACATCTTCATGTCTTGTGCCGGACCTCAAAGCCAACATGGAACAAGTGTCAAACATTTAATTTTTACCAAAAGAGATGGTTTAGACTAGAGACAATGATGCTTAAAGGGATAGTTCACACAAAAATGAAAATCCTGTCATTAATGACTGACCCTCATCCAGCATGTCGTTCCAAACACACAACCTTCATTCATCTTCTAAACACAAATTAAGATATTTCTGAAGAAATCCGAGAGCTTTCTGACCCTCCGTAGACAGCAAGGGAACTACCACGTTCAAGGCCCAGAAGGATAGTAAGGACATCATTGAAATAGTCCATGTGACATCAGTGGTTCAACCATATTGTTCATAATTTCTTCTCTTCGGTGTCAGTCTGTTGCCATTCACGAGAGTACCGAAAGTCTTATGGGTTTGGAACGACATGAGGGTGAGTAATTAATGGATAGTTCACCCAAAAATGAAAATTCTGTCATTATTTACTCACTTTTTTCATTTTTTTCAGCGATCTGTCTCTTGAAATATTCTGCTGTATGATTGGCTCTGGTGTATTTAAGCATTTAGTAGTTTTGCTACTGTGTAGCACAAATTTAAAATGTTTTTTTTCTCAGGTTTGTGAATGATGATTGTGATTATTTGATGTGGAAAAAATATTTTATAAATGTAAATAGTCTTTCTTAAAAATAAAGACTTTTAACTCATTGTTCTTGAATTTTACACAAGACCATCTAAAGCTGGTTAAAACTGCTTTCTTCAAAGTCTGGAAATTTAAAAATAACAAATGCTATGGTACAAAAAGTTAATTTAAGTTCAAGAAGTCTCTATTCATCATACAGTTTCTCTATTCATACCATGAGAGTTCTCACATTCACGGAAATTAAAGCTCCACATTCATTTCTGCTTTCGGGAAAATCTCCTATATTCTGTCTTCCCATCTCCTGTGGGACAAAACCATCATTTTAATCAAAGTCGGCAACACTTGACATCCTCACAGAGCTCTGAGCTGTCCAAATCCTTCAAATCTCTCAAACACAGACACGCACGCTGCTTGAACAAGGAACAACAGTTTCATGAGTCGTTCTGTCATTTCTGTTTCCTAGAAAAAAAAAAGAGGAAAAAAACATTGGAAAGGCTGGAACCTCAAAGACAGAACTGGAGATTGTTGCTTGTTATATTTAAACCACTGAAGCATTTCTTTATTTACGCTATTTAAACAACTCAAAACCTCTAAACATTGTCTTGACAATCTCTTGGAAAAGCAACTTGCAAAAGCTACAGTACATCCCCTGAGATGGGAAATCTAAATGAGTTTTAGAAGTGCATTTGTCAGGAAGTCTCCAATATATCTGCATCCTTAAAATAGTTTGTATCGATTTAAAAAACAACAACAACAACAACAACAAACATCCACACTGAGACCGATCATATGAAACAATTTCTCATCTTCCTTCTATTTCTCTCTGCACTTCCAGACCTGTCAGATACACAGTTTGCCTCGGTTGGTTGAGATGATAAAACTCCTATTCCGACTGACCTTCTGAGGGGCAAAATGAACATTTTTAGTCGGGTAGCACAAGGGTTGGACATAAAAGCTTTTTATAAGAGCTCCTTGGCCTGTAGCGGAAACGGAAGACAATACTGTTAAAAATATATTTGAGTAAATGCAGTTTGGTTCTTTTAAAATATTGAACATTTATGAGGGAACGAGGGGTTTACTAGTTCTATTATTCAACATTTTTAGACAGTAAAGCTGTAAAACAATAACTATAACATTGCAGTGACTGCAAATGGTTCACTACATCCATACGAATGGCCTTGATGACAATAGAAAATCCTCTCCATGCTCTGCTGTATTTTACTGCTGAGTAACCAGAAGAATTCATTTAGCAGTATAAATTCTGAGCATGATCATTAATCAAAGGTAGGCTATTAGGCGGAACTGTCCTCGCTTCACTGTCTCATTGATGAGACTAAAAAACGTTGGGTTATTTACTGTAGGCCTACCCAATAGCTGGGTTAAACATGTTGGGTCGCTTTGTTGGGTTATTGGGTGATTTCTATAACAACGCAAACAAGGTCAAAATTTTAAATTCCAAGTTAATTGGTGCAACTGCGACAGATGATACAGCAGTAAGCTGATATGTGTGCGTAATGTTGTTTTTTGTTACAAAGTGTCTTTAAGCCCTGACACAGTAATATTGCTGTTTTTCCTACGAATATGTTTACATCTCCCCTGTCGACTGACATTTTAATCCGTTCAAAATCCGTTATCTGCACTCGACTAACGAGCGAGTTTCCTTACTTTTTCTGTTCGTCTCGACAGTGTTGGGGGAAATTTTACATTTATTTCAGCTATTTGGCCGACGCGAAGACCAGCGGAGCCTCTTTCGCGGTGTCGCGTCCACTCTTGAAGGTATGTCGCCGTTTTTATTTAAAACTACGTGCCCTGTCGGCAGTAAACTACAGTGTAAAATTAAAACACTACAAAACAGAAATGAAACGTTTTATCTCTGGAAGTGCTGGTTACCAGGAGAGGGTGCTCGCTGCAGAGCCAAATGGGAGGAGCTGGAGCTCTAGCTCCCCCTCGCTGGATGTAATGGGTGGAGCTAGACACCCAACCACTCCCTAACCCTACCCCTTACCCTATCGCTAAACATAATTCCATCCATTAGTTCACACAGAGGTGGAACTGGACGTCTAGAGAGGGGGAGCTGGAGGTCATTTGGCTCTGCAGTGAGCAGTACTTGGTTACTAGAGCAATCATGTAGTGATTATTTTCACCGACAGAGGGCGCTGTGACCTAGGCAAGGCAAGTTTATTTATATAGCACATTTCATACACAATGGTAATTCAAAGTGCTTTACATAAAAGGAAGTAAAATAATCATAAAAAAAATAATCACAACAATAAAACAAGGCATTTAAAACTCTTACAATTATTTAAAAATTGATTTAAAATGAATTTAAAACAGTTAAAAATAGAAAATGTTTATATACAGGTTTATGCAAAAGTTTGGGCACCCCTCTGAGGCTGCATAATAATGAGCTCTTTCTTTATAAGAAAATATTATAGTGATATGCCATTCAGTTTCTAGAGAAAGCTGCATAATGTGATGTTTTTCAGACAGAAATTCTTAGTGTAGCAGTACTGTGTTGTATGAAATAAAGTCAAATGTGAAAAATAGGCTGTGCAAAAGTTTGGCCACCCTTTCAATTGTGTTGATTTTAATACCTGTAGTCTCTTATTGCTGATTAATTACAACACAATATTGATTTGATTGGCTCAGTGAACCTTAACACTGCAAACTAAGGTGCAACCCATCATGGGAAATGATATTTAAGGTAGCTAATTGCTAGTTGTGCTTCTCCTTGATTCTCTACTGGAAAGTAGCAACATGGGAACCTCAAAAGAACTCCCTAATTAACTAAAAACTAGGATAATTTGTAAATATTAATTAGGAGAAGGATACAAAAATGTTCACAAAGGTTTAAGGTCTCTGTCACCACAGTCAGAAATATAGTTAGAAAATGGAAGGCCATAGGAATAGTCCTTGTCAAGGAAAGATGTGGTAGGCTGAAAAAAATATCTGAAAGGCAACAGCGAAGAATGGTTAGAATGGTCACAGACAAACCACAGACCACCTCCAAAGAGTTCCAAGAACATCTCGCTGCTGATAATGTCATTGTACATCATTCCACAATCCAGCGCACTTTGCACAAGGAACAGCTCAATGGAAGGGTGATGCAGAAAAATACTTTTTTGGGTACTGCCAACGACCTAAAGCATTGCTCCAAATCTACCAAGGAATTCATGGACAGGCACAATGTATGTGTGGATGGATGAATGGCCATCGAGTCCCCAGACTTGAATATCATCAAACATCTATGGATTGACTTGAAGCAGGCTGTCCACACTCGGCAGCCCTGAAACCGGCAGAAATTTTGCAAGGAAGAATAGTCAGAATACCTGCAGTCAGAATTCAGGGACTTATCAGTGGCTATAAGAAGCGTCCACAGGTTATTTCAGCAAAAGGTGGCTCTACTAAAATCTGATGTGATTATTCCATTGGGGTGCCCAAATTTTTGCACCTGTCTGTTTTTGTTGTGATTCACATTGCATTGTTTCTGTTGATTCAATAAATGTTATTTCAGAATTTAAATGTTAATGTATCCATAAGGTATAAATTATATCCAAATGAAGTTGCAGCTTCGAAAGCCTAGCAGATTATAAATTGAAATTATGATAATTATCAGGGGTGCCCAAACTTTTGCATAAAACTGTATAAAATACAGTGCAATCAGTTTGGATATAGCACAGTGCTCATTCAATAAATGCACAGCTAAACAGATGAGTTTTGAGTCTGGATTTAAATGTGGCTAATGTTTTAGCACATCTGATCTCTTCTGGAAGCTGGTTCCAGCTGCGGGCTGCATAACAGCTAAAAGTAGACCACTTGTTTTGTGTGAACCCTTGGTATTTCTAACTGACTCGATCCTAATGATCTGAGTCTGCATGTAATTAAAGTTTGCTGTGTTTCACAGTCAACACATATGGCTTGTTGGCTAATTTCAAACGAAAATAGCACTTTTAGATTTAAAAAAAAAAGGCAATGATAGATGGCACTAGTGGAGGTAGGAAAACAAAGTTCTTTATGTGTGCAAAAGAAAAATAAAAGTAAAATTTTACTTGTTGTTTACGTAAACATTGCGTTGTTTACGTGTTGCATAACGTAAATTTAATTCTATACGTCATTGATACACTCACATTACCACCTACTAGCATGGCAATGTAACATGCAATAAGAGTTCACAAATCCCCACACCTGTCTAATGATACAAACACCACTCTTGTAACACTCGGCTAATCAAATTAATACATAACAGACATTAATCCATTATTACAACAGTAAGAAGTCAAATGAAAGACTACCACCATGACTTAGAAAAGTGTGGATTTTTTTCCCCGTTTTTTCCCCATTCTTGTTTGGTGATTAATCCATTGTTCTTTCTATTTAAGGTGGTCTTGGAGATTGCATTAAAGTTGCATTAAAACCCTGACATCCTCCTTCATTGCCATACAAAGTGGGTAAGTGCATCATTTATGACAATATATTTTGGGGTATTATTTATGTATGTATGCATATTTACCATTTTAAATTT